AATGTTTAATTTGAATTTGCTCTTTCTTTCAGGCAGAGGGGGGCAGTCTGCGCTACGTTTTGCGCGTCTCAGAATGGAGAAGAGACACAACTATGTGAGGAAGGTGGCCGAGACAGCGGTCCAGCTCTTTGTGTCCAATGACAAAGTTAACGTTGCAGGAATGGTCTTGGCTGGCTCTGCTGACTTTAAGACCGAGCTCAGCCAGTCGGACATGTTCGACCCAGTAAGTTTGTCTGTTTTTATTACAACAATACAGATTTTAAAAAGGTTTTTACTATGTAATATACGTAAGTATATTCAGAAACTAGACGCCCAATCAATATGGGTTCTAAGTTTACTGTGGGCCAAATATACCAAAAAACACATTTGTCCTATTAGTAAATAATGCTGTAATATAATTAAAATACGCAATTAAAACAGATCCTGTAAAACTTGTGACACTGGAAGCACCACCTGAACACATGTAACACAAATATATATATATATATATATATACTGAACCCTCTTAATAGAAAAGGCAAAGTGAGGAATTTGCATGCTGTAAATAAATTCCCTCTGAATGAACTCTGTAACTGGTGTTGATCCTAGTAGTTTATCCCTACTTCTAATCAGTCTATGAAATGTTGTGGATACAAGTACATTAGAGTACCAACCTAAACCTTCTTTCCCCTCACACTGAACAGAACTGAAAATAATATCTGATCGTCATCAACATCAGACATGTTTGAAAATGTTCCCAGACTTCTGTTATCAGCTCTGGGCAGCAGTTCTTAGTGTGAACTCGACCCACACTGAGTTGGATTTGTAACACTGGTAGTTTTCCAGTTATCCTGCCTCGTCTTTTGTGGAAACAAAGCCTAATTTTTGGATATTATCTGCATACTTCTATTCGTGGCCATTACAATATACCCCATGTTAACGACTTTGTGAAAATACCAACATTTAGTTGCAAGGTTTGCTGACTAAGCGTCTGTATTTAACGTGTGCTTCTATGCATGTTATGCCACATCTGTAGGTGGATTATTCTAGTGTTTAACTTTTGTGTATGTGTCCTTTTTCTACAGAGGTTACAGGCCAAGGTTTTAAAGCTGGTGGACATCTCCTATGGAGGAGAGAATGGTTTCAACCAGGCCATTGAGCTCTCAGCAGAGGTTCTCTCTAATGTCAAATTCATCCAGGAGAAGAAGCTCATAGGTGAGTCGTCCTGTTGACACATTCGAACGACCGTTTGAACACGTCAACAGCGATGGCTTATGAAAACCAGAGCTTTTCTTAATGGTCGTCCCTCTCTGCAGGAAGGTACTTTGATGAGATTAGCCAGGACACGGGGAAGTACTGTTTTGGTGTGGAGGACACTCTCAAAGCCCTGGAGATGGGAGCGGTGGAGATCCTCATAGTCTACGAGAACTTAGACACCATGCGTTACATTCTACGTGTACATGGGGCAGAGAGCAACGGACTTGAGAACGGTACACGAACCACAAATCTCACATCTACCATTGCTGAGAAACGGGAATATATTGAGATGAAATACTGTCGTGCAATTTCCTTCATGTCTGTCCCTTGTTTTTCCAGATGAGAAAACTTTGTACTTGACGCCAGAGCAGGAGAAAGACAAGTCTCACTTCACAGACAAGGAGGTAAGCGCTTCACTCCCTGTGAATGAAGATGGACGTCACCCATCGTCCCATGCGCTGCTGACTCTGATTGTTTTTCTAGACGGGGCAGGAACATGAATTGCTAGAGAGCATGCCGCTGCTGGAGTGGTTTGCCAACAACTACAAGAAATTTGGAGCCACGCTGGAGATAGTCACAGACAAGAGCCAGGAGGGGTCCCAGTTCGTGAAGGGCTTTGGAGGCATTGGGGGTGAGTGCGCTATTCTTTACAATTGGGTTTAGGGCCGTGAGGAGGAATGGAAGATGTGTGTGGTTCAGTTCTGTGACTTACCCTTCTTACTTTTGCTTTCTGCGTGTAGGAAACAAGCCGCTCTATAGTTGGCCACATAACCGCTTATGCTGCTCCACCCAAAGTCAATTTTATGCTGAAGTCTACAACAATCAAGACATTGAGAGCTGGGGACATATGATTGCAAGAATTTCACAGGCTATTAATAATTATTTGCTTAGCTCCATCAACTCGACACTATAACATATGCATAGTGGGTCGTGGCTCGGAGTAATCTGACTTAATTGATTTAATCCACAATAAAGGATCTATACAAACATTTGATTGTTTGAAGTGCGATGTTATCAGACGCCAGCGCCACAACACGCATTATGGCCAATGTCCTGATGGCATATTTTACTGAATATTTGCAGATAACGATAGTAAAACTTTATTTCAAAGTGATTTGCTATGGTAAACCTTAATGGATCTGCAGGATTAAGGTCCGTTTGTCTTATCGGTATGGATCACAGCTAGAAAACGTACAGTCTTTCTCTATTTTCTCTTTTATATATAGTCATGGCTAACTCCACAGCCGATTAAAGAAAAAGACTCCTTCTTTTAGGATACTTGATGTGGATTGTGATGTCCCTATGGAGGGGAACTACAAATGATTCATGTTATCAATAAATTGCTAGTCTTTACTGTAGTGTTTGAATTGTTGTAACTTTAAGAATTAGAGTGAATCATAAGTATTTTTTTTCCATGGTGCCATGCTATGGGTAAGACAGTTTCATGCTGATTGCAGGAAAAGGCTTTAACGGGTGTGAAATTGTGGGATCCACTTAGTAGTTCACTGTAAATTTCCTCCTAATCCTAAAAATATGTGTTTTAGCGCTTTTTGGATAGAAATACTGCCGGTCAAATAGCCAAGGGGGCGATTAGCTTATCCTAATATGAATTCTTCCTTTGATGCTGCCGCAATCTAATCAAACATGAGAAACTTGTCAGTCAACCCGTTACCTTTCTCCTGTTTGTGTTCCTCAGGTATCTTGCGGTACAGGGTGGACTTCCAGGGCATGGAGTACCAAGGAGAGGACGATGAGTTCTTTGATTTGGATGACTACTAGGTAGTCAGGGACTGATATTTGGAGAAAAACAGCAAAGGAGTGAATGAAGAAATGAGGATAGAAAAATGACACCTCTCTTGCAGCAAGTGAGAGGTGCAACCGGGTTGAGCATATATGACGGACACACCTTCCAATTTACCTGTTGCATACACAAACTTGCGCCTACATTTCATCTGTACACTCAACAAAATGCATCACACAGGCTGAAGAGGAGTAAGAATTTCTTTCATCCAGAGAGGGAGAAAAGCCCTTCCTGAATAAATCCCTGCCTTAGAGTGCTGGTTCCTTCCCCTAGTTGGATTGGACTTGACTCATTTTGTTCATTTTTTTTTTTCTCCTCCCCTCCATTTTGAATGAACACAACAGCAAGTTCCCAGAGTCCTCTCTGCCCCCAACCCGGTCTAAAGAAGAACTTTGGACTCACTTCTCATATAGAAAATATATTTTCCTTTCTTGCCTCATGTCCCTACCCTCTCGCTCTCTTCTCCCTTCAACGCTTTCTCTTTGTCTCATTTTTTTTTTTCACCCTTTTTTGCATTTCATTTTTTTACTGGTGACTGCTGCTGTTGTATTTTATGAGAGTGGGGGATTTTTTTTACCTGGGTTTCTGTAGAGAAAGGGGGACAAAGTATTAAATTTGAACTGCTGAAAACCATTGCTACCTCCTCATCTGCTGTGGTCTCAATCTTGTGCTGTCTGTCCTATTCCTGGGAACCACAATCTTTTGCTTTTCTAAAATTCAAATGAATATTTTTATAGTCCTGTGTGATTGAAAAGTATACATAAGTGCTTTTGTTAAGTTGTTTTAATCAGGCTCCACTTCCCTATGTTTAAATTTTATTTTAAGTTGTGAAAGCTGTTTTTTGCATTGTCTTGGTATTCATTGTATACCATGACATAAGGAGATGAGATCTATTTTAACCTCACCTTAAATTTTTCAACGATCAATTACAAAATTCCGACAGACGTGTTTGATTTCTTTTCAAAATGAATCTCCCACCCCTACAATCAGGAATTCATTGAAGGAGTGCATGTGTTAATGCATTGTTGCTATTTTATGTGATGTGTTGCTCATCTAGAGAAAATGAGGTTTTCTTGCTTCTATTTGGGTCATAAGATGGGGGGGGGGGGGTTCATTAATGACCCCTGAAAGTGGCGAAGACAGAACTCCCCAAAGAGGTGTTAAAGAATGGCCTCTCGCAACACGCAAAAACTCATCAGTTCACAACATAATCCAAGGGAATCAATATATTATGGAGCTTGTGTCAAAGAACTCTTAGTTTAGGCACCGATCGTAAAGGAAGGAAACAGATCCTGCCAATCGTAGCCCTAAAATACGCCCTGTGGCATTTCCATACCAGTTATGAACATTTCGTTTGAATAACATAAGCACTCAATTGACCAGCCATGTTGTTTTTGAGTGAATTAAGCAAAAGTGTTCCAGTTCAAGTCGGGCCTGAATTTCTGGGCTTCTGGATTTAGCGTTATTGTCTGAAGTGAAAGATGTTGCTGCTTTTTGCAGGACGCTTTTGGTGTAACTATTTGGTCATGTTTAGTCCTCTCTTAATTCATCCAATAGGATGAAAATGAACTGAACCAACCTGGGTCTGGTATTTTATTCGTCAATGCCATCACAAACCTGCAGGGAAACGGCCTTGAGTACTTACTATTTTAAAGAGCCATATTTTAAATTACATTTTCCAGTATTGCCCCAACACTAACATCCTGTAGCATATTACAGCAAAACTACACGGATGATTGGTTTTTGCCTTGGTGTGTTCCACTTCAGGATGGCAACAGCATCTTCATCCATTTGCCCTTTTGTTTGTGGGAGTCACCGGGGAAGCCTTAGTAGCATCGCGAGCCAATCAATAAAAAGCAAAGCTATCAAATCCCTCCCCCTTCGACGAGATATGTCCAATCAGCGCATTTTTCAATGCATGGGCGTGACCCATTTTCCCCCCACCCACCCCTTTGACACTGCCCCACCAAAGCCGTGTGGTTGAGCGAAGTGAATGACGTCTCTGCATTTGCGGGCCGCCGACGCAGGGCTGGGTTTCCATTTTCACAGCGAGTTTCGGGGGGGATCGTCAACATGGAGCCGGAGATGGAGGACAAACCGTTGGAATTGATGGTAGGATTATTTTCGTTATGGCAACCCGGACGCCCCAAAGTGTTCGGTATCACTCTGAAACCGGGAGAGGCGCCGACGCTCGATTCGACGGCCGGAACGGGCTGAAGCGGCTCGTCGGGAGAGGTGGCGGTGGTGGAGGAGAAAGGAGGGAGGAGGGGCGGGCGGGGGACCAGAAAACAGAGGGAGGGCCTGAAATTATCGATACATTTTCTTGAGAATACTCTGCATTTGGGCCGGAATAACAACCGAGACCTTCACCCCCAGGTCTGACGTGACGCGTGAATTTTTGGGTGACACCGGTAAAGCGCGGGGGAAGTGAAAACGGCCGTGTTCGGTCGTCGGCCGGAGACAGCCGAGGATTCTCGGGGCAGCGTTCACTGCGGTGACGCTGCGCCACTTTAACTGGGCCCTGTTCGCTATTTAGCCGTCCAGCTAACACCGGCTACAAGGCGATGAACCACGTACATTTTGTAGTATGTTGTTTTATGTTAAGTAGACGACATTTGAATATATGTGTGTAACAGTTAAATAGGTCTAATGCTACTATGCGTGTCGCTATGATCGCAATGATGCGCGAGTCCTCTGTTTATATTTCCAAAGTGCGTAGAAGGAAGTGTATTGTTTTTTCATTCACATAGCGTTACCACGATTAGCGAGGTAGCAATTAGCTTAACAGATAGCATGCTAAAGAAATGCTAGTTACACTTGACTTGCATTACCACACAAAAACAGTCAGTTCGGCAATGTGGCACACGCTGTTTTAATAACCAGAAACACAACCCGTACACACAGTATCACATTCCTCAATAGACTGGTCAGTTTCGGCGGATAAATTACATCGTTTTCTTGTGAGGTGGTAAGGTATCTAGATACTATAGCACGCTAGGCTAACGTTAGCTTGGTAATAGGCAACGTTACTATTACCGGGGTCAAAGTGGTCCAAGAGAATACTCTTACGCTAAGAAAAGGCGTTGATGTCTATTGTTCATGAACTTAGACGAGGACAGTCTCACGCTCGTTTGGCGCTTTACTCCAGATTGTTTAGGGTGTTATGAGGAAATGGATCAGATGTCTTCAGGATCCCAGAGCATTTTGTTTTGCCAATATTTGTCAAAGGGTCTTGTCCACATTCGATGCAGACGTTTATAGACCCTGAATAACCATTGTTGAGAGAAATGAACTGCCAGTAAAGTGAGTGGAAATACCTTTTTGCTAAAACAAAGTAATGGAGGAGTAGTGGAAGACCAACAGACAGACGCAGAAAAATAAAAATATGATGCCATTTAATAGAGGTGCCAGTTTTCGAATCTTTAATTGGTTGTTTATGAGTTGTCTTCTAGAAGTTTAGATGAATGCTGAGATTATGAAAACAACATAAATGTAACCCAGTGCTTACTTTGTCACTGAATATAAAAATGGAGTTAGTGTTTTATGTAGTATATTAGACAAGATCACATACTGTACATGGCCGACATAAATACAGAGTTTATACATCATCTCTTCTTCTCCCTGAAGAATGATTACACATATTAAAGGTGTGTAGGGTTGTAATCTTATGTAAACATTTTTTAATTTTCTTTCTGGTTTGTGTCTGGCAATTCATTCTTTTATTTTTTGTCTCCGTCTTCTTCACTATCCTCTCATCAGAGTGGGCCTGGCAGAGCAGTGGGTGGTGTTTCTGTCAAAAACAAGAATGACAATATTGACAATTACTCCCATTGCCCCGTCCTCTCCTCTACCTCCCCACCCAGTTCGTGTCTAATAATGCTTCTGTGTGTCTGTTTATCAGTCTGTATCTCGTGTGTGATGGAGTGTGTGTTCCTGCGCTCACTGTGCCAATGTGTGTGTAGCTCTAATACTGGTTTTTCCCCTTACTATCCCCCCCACCTCCTCCCCTCTTCTCTCCTCACCCTTAATGGTTACACACCTACCTCCTCTCAATTTCAAATCAAACCTTTTTTTTATTTTGGATTTCTTTTCATTATTTCTGGATGTTCCCAACACTTTCGCACTCCACCTTTTCTGTTCCTCACCACTTCCATTCACATACCCATTCATTGATCCATTCACTCACCTTGTGTTTTGTTTGCTCCTCCCAACTTCCCTCATAAAACCTCCCTCCCCTTCTCCTTTTCTTCCCATCTCTGGTCTCTTGCTCTTCTCTTCCTCCCTCAACCTGTGCGCTACGTCCTCCTCCCTTCCTTCCTCCCTCCCTCTCTCTCTCACACAGTGCTCTGTGCCTCGCTCTCTCTGGCTGGGCTGCTCCTCGGTGGCTGAGAGTTTGTGTGCACTCAGGTGCCTGCAGAGCATCCCCTCCACCCGGGCTCACAACCAGGTTCTGCCTCTCTCCTCTTAATTCTGCTGCTCCTCCTCTTCTCCCTTCCCTTCCTTGCCATCTACTCCCCCACCCCCCCTTTCACTTTTCTTTGCGCACTCCACGTGACTCCTCATGCCACCTTGGTGCAGACAGCGCCACCTCACCCTCCTACCGCCTCACCTTCCGTTGTCCTTTCCTCTCTGTTTGAAGCACACTGCTCTCCGGTTCTTCTCTGGTGTGTCCTTAACTCTTTCTCCTGGAGACATTTTGTTTAGCGTCACAAACTATAATTTATTTCCATATGATTATGTCAAATCACAGTTCTTGCATCTAAATTAGGACCCAGAATGCTTAAAAAGTCTAAATGTGACTGTGCCGTGTAATCAGAAAACTACAATCTATTTGACAAGTAGTCTTATTTCCAAAGTAATCTGAAGTGCGTGGAGTATGGACGCAGTGGTTACCAGAGAATAACCCCACAATGCCGAGTAGCATCTGATCACCTTCTACCTGGAGGTGTAAGGGGCCGCGGTGGGGGGGGCTGGGTTTTCTTCAAGCTCTGAGCGGCTACATGCTTGCTTGCCTGCCTGCCTGCCTGGCCAAACCTGATCTGTCTCTCTTTATTTCTCCTCCTTTATTCTCTTCCGCTCTGCATGATCATCAACACCAGCAAGCCCATCCTTGGCTTCGTGTCCTGTCTGCTGTGGCTCTGGTACTGGACCGTTTGTGTGGTTGCATTATGGCCAATCCCTGATGCCCTGTTGGTTTTTTCATCCAAAAGTAGCCGCATCACACGGTTAAATGGACAACAATACTGATCAAAGCGTGGAACAGGCTGGGGTTTTACTTTTTAGAAAGAATAGCCAGCTAAATAGTCATCATTTCTTTACGATAGACCCCAGGTTTGGCCTGCCAATGGCAACCCTTGGGTCTCTAGCAAGATGAGCTTTGATTCTATCCCAGGTAAAGGACACGTGCTCCCCATTTCCCTAAATAAGTTCAACAGATCTGCAAAGAGAGAAGATAGCTTTTCTAGAACTTAGAACTGGGCTTGCAAATAAAATAAACTATATATCCTTCACTGCTTGCTGTGTTTGATATTTAGATTTGTGCTTGTTTTGTTAATTCGTGAAGCGTTAATGGTGTGTCTTTGTCTTTTTACTTTGGGAATAGGTTTCGTTTTGGTTGGAGGTGGTCTCCAAACATCCACCAACCAAAAACATTACAAGAGAAGTCCCCTAAGATCATAGGTCTCCTTGTTGGTTCATTTTGCAACCTGACTATTCATTCACATGTTGTTGTTATTATAATTTAAATGTTAAGAGCCAGGTTAAATGGTTTGTATCTCCCTATTGCGGTCAATAACTGACCCTTTGTTTTGACTCTTAAGTCTATGTGGGACCCTTGTGCTGCTTGATGAATGGGGGACATCTGCTTGCCTCCCCGTTCTTTTGTTCTTATGATTGTTTGTTTATACCATGAGACCACTGTTGGATTTTGCCTTTATTACACTCATGCCTTAGCGGCTGGCAGTGACCAAGCCCAAGATGCTGGAGTTCAATTTCCTGTCCAGACTTCTTAGCCCACATCACAGACAAGCACTCCTTTTTGTTGCCGTGCTTAGTTTCTTTCACTTCATACGCGTGTGTGTGTGTGTGTGTGTGTGTGTGTGTGTGTGTGTACATGCACGGTTGTTTCTGCGTGCACACCCTTCCTTGGCTGTGTTTATGGCACTCTTGTGTCCAGCGCTGTCCACACCGCTTCCCTGGCTCCTACAGCGCCTTTCAACGAGGACGCAGAGACAATAAAGCTAACCTGCACTTTGTCTTTGTCTTTGTCCTCCTTCTACAGAACATGTCAGGGATGGAGTCCCAGAACCTCGACCACGATCTGTCGCCAAAGAAGAACACAGTTCTCAAGGTGTGTGTGTGTGTGTGTGTGTGTGTGTGTGTGCGCGTGCACACAAACCGCTTGGTGAGGCTTATAATATAATAAATTATTGACTTTTAATCTCTTATCAAGCGGCAGACGTCTTTTACTCAGCTTTAAACCTTGGCAATGACACGATAGAACTACTCTCGGGCCTCTTTTACAGGAAGCCCAAATGACGGGGATAGCGCTGATTCTACTGCATTAACTACATTCAAACATTGGTTTGTACAGCTTAATAACGGCCCTGTCGTCGGGTCCCGCAAGCGGCCGTCAGAGGGGAACTACGAGAAAGAGAAGGAACACTGCATCGCCCTGTTTGACCAGTGGTCGGAGGCCGACCAGGTGGAGTTTGTCGAGCGCCTGATCTCCCGTATGTGCCACTACCAGCACGGCCACATCAACTCCTACCTCAAACCCATGCTGCAGAGGGACTTTATCACTGCGCTGCCAGGTACACAAATGGATATACACGCACTGTTCAGAAGAAGCTCCTCTTCCCTGTTCACTGTACAGTTGGGTGCAGGCGCAAGGATCATCATTTGCAGCGTACCTTGAAAAATGAAAATGCCCCGCCTGCTAAAAAGAGAATATTATTTAGGGATTTTTCTATTTGTCTTTAATTGTAATTTAGAGCAAATTCGGCCTTCAAATGACCTAAACATATTGTTGGTTTTATTTATTTATTTATAAGCAAACTTTGGCCTTAAATACCGCTAAACATGGATTACGATTTGAAATACATGAACCCCAAGTTTCAGATAAACCAACTAGATAAACGCACGCGCTCAGCCTCTTCTTTTCCCTCCCTTTTAAGCCCAAGGCTTGGATCACATAGCGGAGAACATCCTCTCTTTCCTGGATGCGCGCTCGCTGTGCTCAGCAGAGCTGGTGTGTAAGGAGTGGCAGAGGGTCATCTCTGAGGGTATGTTATGGAAGAAGCTCATCGAACGCATGGTCCGCACTGACCCGCTTTGGAAAGGCCTGTCCGAGAGACACCAGTGGTGAGGATGGACTTGGACCCATTTACACACGCACACACCGGTTTAGCAATCCTGAGCTATTTGATTTAGGATAACGGGGAGAAAGAAGTTTGTTCTATTAGTGTCTGTTAAAAAAAACAATCCCACTGCATAAAAAAAGCAGTTTTCATCCTCGTATTTTCCTTTTACCTAGGGAGAAATATTTGTTCAAGAACCGCACGTCAGAAGTCCCACCCAACTCCTACTACCACTCCCTTTATCCCAAGATCATCCAAGACATAGAGGTAAGCGACGGAGCTTTCTTCTTTGCACCAGAGATATATATATATATATATATATATATATTTTGTTGTTGTTGTTAAAAATATCCCTTGTTTGGGTTGCAGGAATAGAGCGTAGTATCTAGGCCTGCACTTAGAAGCGATTGGCTTGTACATAGAATTCTGAAAGGATAATAGTTTTTTACAATGCCTATATAAAGACCGTTTTAACTAACTCACTATCAGAAGTTTGTACAGGATCCTATTTATAAACACGAGCGCCGCCGCATTGAAGGACATAAGTGACAAGTTAATTTTAAATCCTTTTCCATGATTTACCAAAACGTGGAAGTCTGTTAGAGTACGGTTATGAATAGGGCTGTGTAAAATGCTTTTCTTGTCTTTGTAATGAGGTAAATAACATGGCTATCTAGTTAATTTAATAATAGAAAACGGCAGTCCTGTTCTACAAGTGGCTTCTGTTCTGCCGCTATATAGAAAATAAAACCTAGGGGGGAAACTCAACATTTGGAAGTATAAATGTTGCATTTCTGTTTTATTGACATGGCAAAGGTTAAAAAAAACACTTTCATGCTTTGATCAAATTACATATCGCACCAATCTGCTGGGCTGCTCAACTACAGTGCTTCTCTCTCTCTACTGGTTGCCTTCTGTGTGTCTCTTTAATGGTTTGTCCCCCTTTTCTCCAGACTATTGAGGCAAATTGGCGGTGTGGCAGACACAACTTGCAGCGGATTCAGTGTCGCTCAGAAAACAGTAAAGGGGTTTACTGTCTCCAGTACGATGACGACAAGATCATCAGTGGCCTTAGGGACAATTCCATCAAGGTGTGTATTGAGCATTAAGGGTTGTGACTTTACACACTTTATTGTTATCCGTTCAACACATTGGCTCCTCTTCTCCAGAACCACTGTATCATTTCTGTCCGTCTATTGTGAAATTGGCCCTCTCATCATTGTGGACAGTATATAAACATGTAGTGTACACAGAGCTCATGGGAACAAAAACCTGTTGTCTAGAATTACAGCCGGCCGGTCCCGTTTCTGTGCAACGGCTGAGCAGCAGGTGCGGCATTTGCCCAGATTTTGTGGTGTTTGACACATACGGAGGCACCATTTCCATCATGGACTGTAATCCTCATTAATAAGAACTAAAGTATTATGTTTAAAACTATTGTAACGGATAACTAGGCCATTTTAGCCGTTGATGTTCAAAAGAATAGTCCTTAACTTGTCCGTAATTTCTTTACTGAATTCCCTCATGCTCAATGAAAAAGAACTTCAATTTTATTTATTTTATACAGCCCAAATTTACAAATTTGCCTCAGAGGGCTTTACAATTCATACACATGCGACATCCGCCGTCCCCAAACCCTCACATCGGCACATGAAAAGTGCGAAAAAGGGTAAAAGAAGACATTTTAGGGAGAACGGCAGAGGAAGGGTCCGTCGCCTGCGATGGACAGAGTGCAATAGATGTATATGTATGTACAACAAATGCAATGCATATGACAGAAATGATCATCCATCTTTTTTTATTTTAATTTAATTTTTTTTCTCTCACAATGAGCGCCAACCTGAGGACGCTTGCTTCATACTTTGCTCAGTCTGGCAGCCGTAATGTTTGAGCAGGGCGGACAACCTCTCTGAGACGAGGGGTGCGGGAATAAAAAAAAAACCTGCACCATTGAGAACGCCCGGGCAACCTCTCCCCTCTAATGGGCTTTGTGATGCTCGTTATGATCGTGCCCGGCTACAATGTAAAGTTCAGGAAGGACAAACGCTGACATTTACTAATTAACATCAATCCCATTAGTGCGCGTAAGCTACAGCTAGTTGGGAGGTTCCCGCGAGTTTGCCGAGAAATATGCGTGTGGTTTGTGTGTTTTTGAGTTTCATCTTTCGCTCTGGCTCAGTACGGCAGACACTGAGGCAGAACACAAGTGATTTACAGGATAAAAAGGGCTCAGCTGCAAAGCTGCTGTGTGTTCAACTTATCTGTCTGCCCCGGAAGAGGAGGATTGAGACGATGAAGAGGAAGGGAAGAGTGAATGAGTCTTCTCTTTGTGCTGCGGGAGGCTGGCTCACCCTAAGGCGCGAGCTGAAAGGCTCCGATCTGCACCGATGGAATGAGGCAGAAACGCCGCTGTGACTTTTCACACTAACGTCTCCTCTTCCTGCTCCTGTCTCCTTTTCTGTCCCGATAGATCTGGGATAAGCAGTCTCTGGAGTGTCTGAAGATACTGACCGGTCACACGGGATCAGTGTTGTGTCTCCAGTATGACGAGAGGGTCATCGTCACCGGCTCCTCTGACTCGACTGTCAGGTATGTCGCGTTACTGCGTTTATAACGTCACTCCACCGCTGGCTTCTTATGGTAAACACCTCTTCAAGCGATGTCAGGTCCTTCTTAGCTTCTTCAAATTCTTCCATAAAGTCAGTAGAGTTGATTTACAGCTGTACATTTAGAAAACACAGGACAATGTTATGCTTACAAACATAATAAATGTGCAGTTGTAGTTTCAACCCTCACATGAGGTCGACATTGCTTTACGCATACTGCCTATCATTTCAAACGCTGTGTTTATTGTTCATTTTCAATCGCAGTAATGGCCAGGCAATTACCTCGTTGTTTTTTGTTTTCTATCATCACTAGAGATGGTGGGATATGTTTTTTTTTTTTTTAACTTCTGTGTGTGTGTGTTTATGCTCGCTTGGTTACTACACACAGAAGCTAAACATTAAGTCTCTCATTACTTCAGACTTAGTTATTGGGTGGTATCCAAGGAAAATGTGACTTCACTTCCTTAGCAACAGCTTGACAAGCACTTTGCTTGTAGATTTTGTTGTCCTCTTTTCCAGTGTGTTGTACACGCATGAAGTTCAGACAGCATGTGTCGACTCTCGTTACTCTCCATCGCATAACTAATCAAAATAATTCTCCTGTCTTCTTTGTTTTTCTTTGCCGTTACGTTTATTTTCCACTCTCCATCCTCCAACTATCTTCTTTTGTATCGACAACTCTTCCATGTTTCCTCATCTAATTTTTCATTCCTACTCACCCCTTCCTCCTATCCCTTTTTTTTTTTCCACTCTTCTCTCCCCTTGGTAATTTATTCCCTCACACCGCTCCCTCTTATTCCACGTCCACATTTTTCCCTTCCTGCCTTTTCTTTTACGATCTGTCACATTGGCCCCCATCATACCGGCACCATGTCAATTCTCCCTCCTTCCGATCCGCCATCCGTCTCTTATTCGTCCCTCGTCCCCCGCAGGGTGTGGGAGGTCACTACGGGTGAGGTACTGAACACGCTGATCCACCACAACGAGGCGGTTCTTCACCTACGCTTCGCCAACGGATTGATGGTCACCTGCTCCAAGGACCGCTCGATCGCCGTCTGGGACATGGCCTCCCCGACTGACATCAGCCTACGCCGCGTCCTCGTGGGACACCGGGCTGCTGTCAATGTGGTCGACTTTGATGACAAATACATTGTGTCCGCCTCAGGGGACCGTACCATAAAGGTAAGGAGAGCGGCGCACAGGGTTTATAGACTAACGTTGCTCCTGGTAGTGGACTGCAGGGGGGAGTTGCACGATCCTTTCTGTTATTCCCTGAGTTTTCTAAGATTAAAATTAAGATGTCAAACTTGCCAGGAGGTTTCCAAGTGCTTGTTTGGTGAGCTGTACTCATCTGATTGAGTCCAGGCCAATGTTTCACAAAGCCTTCCCTGTTTTTGTAGGTATGGAGCACAAGTACCTGTGAGTTTGTGCGCACACTAAATGGTCATAAGAGAGGCATCGCCTGTCTACAGTACAGAGATCGCCTGGTGGTCAGCGGCTCATCGGACAACACAATCCGGTACGTGTTTCCCTTGTATATTGTTGAACTGTAAACTGTTTATGTAAAAGTTATCTAAAATGATTGAAAAGACTGGCGTTTCGAACGTTTTCTCAAATGATAATAAACGCAGCCAGAATAAGCCTGTACTCAAATGTTAGTTCCAAATAATATTACAGTGCGTCGCCCTGTGTGTCGACTGAGGCTTCTCTTTTCTCTAGGTTATGGGATATAGAGTGTGGGGCATGTTTGCGAGTGCTGGAAGGTCACGAGGAGCTGGTGCGTTGCATTCGCTTTGACAATAAAAGGATTGTCAGCGGTGCCTACGACGGGTCAGTTACACACACACACACACACACAGAGACAAAATGTTGTTTCCAATGCTGTGTTGACTCTTATTTCTCTCTGCAGCAAGATCAAGGTGTGGGACCTGCAGGCAGCCCTGGACCCAAGAGCCCCAGCCAGCACATTATGTCTGCGCACTCTAGTGGTGAGTTCCTTATGATTAAGCCTGCGTCAACATGGCGGACTGACGGGGATCGTGCTCATTGGTCTTCAACTGCAGGTCCTCAAGCCCTGCTGCAATTGGTCTGTGTAGTCAGGCGATGAATAACATTGCATCGACGTTAAAGTATTTTGTTCTTGCACATTTATTAAATACGCCTATAAAGCTATAAAAAGTAGTCTGATATGTTAAAACATGTATTAATCACAATTGTCACAATAGTTGAATGCAAAAAATGTAATGTAATAAAGTCAGTGTAGTTTCCCCAAAAGTATGTATGATGCGATAATAGCGGATTATAAAATAGGCATTATACAACTTTTCAAAAGATGTGTAGCATGACAAAAGATTTACACAGTACTTTGTCATAATGCGGTCCTTTAGGTCATAATGCTGTATTTGTAAGTTCATGACATGGTGACTAATAAGAAATTAAAAGTCATTAGTAACATTTCATTCATTAAAAAAGAAGAAATAAAATAATTTCATAACACTATTATGATTATTATGATATTGATTAAACCGCTCTTAACCGTATAGGATTCAAATATGAAAGCGTATCTTCTGAATATATTAATTTTTAATGTCTGTAAAATAGTCACTTTGTTTCTTAAAAGCTTTCTTTTATGATGATAATTAAAGAATAGATCAGTCATTTAAGTGTTTTGTTACAATCAGCTAAGACTGATTCTTTAATGTATCTTTTGTGTTCAGTTTTTGTATAAACCATTCAGGGAGTTTATTAGTGGTCTTGTTTAATTCTAATGCATCACAAAGCGATGCACGCTGCATCTTATTGTGAGTCCACAACCTTCCTGCGTGGACGGTTTGACATAATGTCGTCTTGTGTTTCCAGGAGCACTCTGGCCGCGTGTTTCGTCTCCAGTTTGATGAGTTTCAGATCATCAGCAGTTCTCACGACGATACCATCCTGATCTGGGACTTCCTGAACGTCTCGACTAATGGCCAGTCGGAGGGACGGTCTCCCTCCCGCACCTACACTTACATTTCTAGATAGCAGGTACAAAGATCCCACACGTTCACATTTAGCTTAAATAGCCACCGTCCATCACACACGAGTGTGTATGTGTGCATAGTTAGAGAATCCTGTTGATGCCTGCTGAGAAGACCCTGGTGTGATTGTAGACTCTGTACCCCCCCCACCCACGCCCTCACTTACCCCCTTCTCCGCCGTGCGAGAGAGAGCAATGCACCTCCACCTTTTTGTGGAGAGCCCCGAGCTGTATTGCCGAAGGGCCCCTTCCACAAGGAAAAAGAACCGGTTTTTTCTCATTTCGCGTGAAGACCCCTGGGGCCACTCCACACATGGACCCCCCCCCCCCCCCCCCCCCGCCCCGCCACATCCACCTCCCTGCCCGTTCTGGCAGACCCTTGAGCTTGTGCCCATTGCCTGCCAGTGCTGTCACATGCGCACGCACGCACACACAAACACACACACACCGGTCAACACAAGGATTCCCTTCTACAGAACCCACTCAACTCTCCAAAGAAGTTCACCCTGTACTACTAATTTATGTTTTCTAAAGTACACTAATGACAGTATTAACTAGACCTTATAGAAGTCACAGGTTCCCCTTTTCTCCCCTTGATACAAACGTAAAGCAGCTTTTGCTCTATATATGTGTGTGTTTGTGTAATATATACATTGTGTTATATTACACACACACACACACACACGCACTCTCATACAGTCGCACAGTTGGACAGAGGATGACTGGAGCTGTGGTGCAGGAGACAGAGACTCTTTACTCGGCTCTAGGAAAGGAGGGAAGGATGGGACACGGAGGGAGTGAAGGAGGGAGAAATGTGTTTGAATGACTTCCCTGCTCCCTCTCACTCCCTCACACTCCTCCCTGTATCTCTCTAACCCCGCGCCCCTCCTCCCCTCCAAAGCCCTAACCCCCCCCCTCCCCCCCAGAGATGCACACTCGCTGGGAGTATGGGAGAACACACACTCTAGTTTGAGTGAGTGTGTGTTTTGTGTATGTGGACTTGTGAAACGGCAGAACGAGCAGAAGCGTCAAGACAGACAGACATGCATGTGAGGTTGCCTTGGATACAGCATCCTGGTAGACCTTTGCTTTTTTTTCTCTCTAACTCTTACTTTCTTACTGTTTTTTTTTTTTATTTTTATTACTGTTATTTTCTCATTTTATTTGCGTATTTTGGTTCTTAGTACAAAAATCATACTAAGCGTAGTCCTTTCTCTCTCTCTCTCTCTCCCCCCCCTCCGACTGCCTTTTCTTCAAACTTCGACCTATGTTCATCTGTCCCTTTCACCCCCCCCCCTCCCCCATCATCTACGTGCTTGCTTTGGTTATGAGAGAAGCTGGAACTCAAGAGCTCAAATTTAGCTGTAAACGGAGTTGTCTTGTCAAAAATTGTGTTGTATATTAAAAATGATTTTTTAAAGAAAATGACCTTATTGTGAATAAAGTACTTGACAGTGGTGGAGTGTTGAGCCAACTGTAACATGAATGAGTTTGATGTCTGTCCTTGTCTGTGTGCATGTGTGGGTGGATTTGTGCTGGGCTGCTCTGACATGTAGAGAACCTCTGATTAGGCCTTAAATTTGGTTTCGTTTGTACACACATAAGGGACTCTATGGTCATGTGTCCCTCTGCAAGAGTCATTGTAATGTGTTTTTTTTTTTTTCCTGAATTTTCTCAAGAAATCGTTTCTCATCTCAGTCATCAAGGAGTTGTAGTTTGTATTCTGTTTTATATATATTTTTAAAGGCGTATACTATAATGACAAACAATAAGTGAGTACAGTGTGTCAAACAATGTTTATACTATGTTATGAAAAGGCTAGAGTACAGTACGTCGGAAAAGGTTCTGGTAGAGTATATTGTGTCGTAAAAAGGCATATTATATCATGTTGAATAACGTAATATTTTTTTAAATGTTTCAACACGCAAAACTAAAGTTGTCCTACAGATTGACACGCATAGAGAAAATGAAATGGTAATATTGGTGTATGTCTAAAAGTCATATTTATTCAACAAATATCTGATCCATAGAATAGTGTCAGTCAAAAAGTCAGCATGTAATTGAACTACAGGCAAAAAAATGTATATATATTTTTTTATTCATAATATACTAAGTGAAGTGTAATCGTACAGCAGGTTGAAGACATCCTAAAAGTCACAAAAAAAAAACAAAGGCAGAAATGTAATAGTATAGTGGTACAATACTTTGACTAAAGTAATACTGTCAAAAGGCACAGGTGTGTCATCAAGTCAACCTACACTATAGTGTGTCCCAGAATAGTAAGTAAAATATATATATATAATATAGTATGTGAAGAAAAGTCAGTGTTGTATTTACATTCCTGTAATATCAAAGAAGTTAGTCATAGCAAAATATGTAAAGATCTAATACAAAGGTCCAACTATAGTACTGCAAAACAAGTCAAAGTTTCTCAGTATAATACGTAACAAAATGCCATACTTTGGTACGTCATGAAAAAAAAAGCGTACAAAAGAAACCCATTCGTAAAGACTTATTTTGACAATAAGAAACCGACATGTCGGAGGACACAGAAAATATTGGCAGCAAATCAAGTAGAGGTAGACAGTCCTACCAGTTTTAATGGGTGTTTTTATATCTATATATATACTGTAGAGTCATACACCTTCCACCGGGTCGGTACACGACCCACCTGTCTGTACTGCATCTCCCCAGGAGAGCTTAGGGAAAGGAACCGTGCTTCTCACACAGAATCTTTCTTTTTTTAATCCTGAACATTTTTCCAATTCATAAATGTACATAAAGTAGCGCACAAATACCCATTCCCAATTCAATTAATTCAAAAGACAAGTCCGATACAATAATAAAATGTTGAATGTTGTAAGTTCAGTTTGTCCCAGGGGAGATTCTGTCTCTTATCCGATGTTCTCCTCCCAAATTCTGTGACAATAACTTTCACCAGCTCACCGCTGTCCGTGACAGTCTGCTGCATCACCACAGCACACCTGGTATTTCAGAGCCTAAAGCATGTGGTGCTGATGACGGTCTTCTTGATGTTGGACAGACATCTTCTCGTCCCACACGGCGTATATATCACAGGTTCATGATTCGGTGTCAGACCCGACCTCCTGCACGCGGAAACAGTCTGTAAACAGTTTCCCCGTCTGACCTGTGCCCGTCTCCCCGGCCCGGAGATCAGCTCCCGGTGTGTCGCCTCCTACATTCGATCCCGATGCTCTCCAGAGCAAGTGGGTGGAGCCCTCCTGCAGGAATGTAGATCCCTCCCACCACCATGCCTCTCGGCCTCTTACAACAACACGTATGAAATAGAATGAAGCTGTGCAGAAACCTTTTAGTAAAAGAAAGACAGAAAAGACATCAGCATTGATTTCAAAGTAGTGAGAGTTGCAGCTGACCTGTAGTGGAGTTTTTCCCAGATGAATCGTGAATAGAAACTCTGTGAAGCCCTTTCTTGGTTTTAGTTTGGACTCTAGCAGTGGCCTTGGAAATCAGCAGCACCTGTTTAGGTGACCATATAGTGTATGCACTATTACGGTGGTCAAAAATCCTGCTCGTTTTTTGAAGTATTGCAGGCTGACTTTTTAACTGAATTAATGTAGCAATTGAAATTTGAAAAAAGTAATGTCATTAAAATGTAATATTTCTATTTCAAGATAATACAAAATGACATAGAAAAGTAATTATGTAGCTTGTGAAAATATTTCATAAAAACCCATAGTAAATTCAATGTTATAGTGAAGATATGATGTGACATTTAAAGTTTTATTTTTTCAAAAATGTGATAACATAAATAGTAAATAGTATTGTGTCACAAAGAGAAGAAAAAGTCAAATTAAATAGTACATATTTAATATATGAACGTATGTCATACCAAGCATTGTGTCTTGGACACGATGGAGGGAAACGGTTTTCCCAAACTGTGTCAACTGTGTCTGACCACTGACCAGCAACCTAGAAGTACAAATCAGCTTGTATTATCTGGTGGTTCAATTAGCTGTTAGCCACTAAACAAGAGAAAACTTTTTCTCCACTGTTTCTCTGGGCGCTGTCTAGAAACGAACACACACAAACCTGCCATCATACAAATATTGAGGCGGAGACAAAAAAATAGATAGAAAGTAATACAGAAAGTCATAGCATAGTTGGTGTGTATGTGTCCGTGGTGATTATGTCCTTCACATATCTCAATAACCATTAATCTGATCCAATCACTCTACACAGGACATGCATTGTCCAAATTGGGGTAGTCTAGTAAGATTGTGTTCCTGTAAGAACTTTGGTCAGTTAAAGATTGGTGCAGTTTTGTTCAATTCTACTAAACTTTGAATGGACAAGCGATCGTGTTCTGTGCAGCAAAGCAAACAGTGGTGCTTCTCTCAACGAAGACACACTTTCCAGCTGTGAACCGATGTGGTTGACACCCACCTCTTCAGGAGCCGCCATCGTTATGGAAGGACCGGTTGTCCCTCCGTGTCCTCTCGCACTCACCCAAGAAACCCGCCCGTGGCTTCCAGTTGCCCTTCAGAGGACTGATTGATCCATGCACTGGCTTGCGGGTAACATACTTTTTTACTTTAAGCCTGATAAAACAGACTTTTGTAATGTATTCAATCTTTCCGTGATCTTGTGATATAGTGAGAAGCCGTCTGCAGCACGAGGCGAGTTTACAACCAGCTCCCATGGAGTCTACGGGCCATGAGCGGTTCTCAACAACGGTACAAGATGCACCTGCGGTGGCCCGGCCTTCGCCCTCGGAGCAGGAACTGCAGTAGATATAAATATATGAAGCTGCAAATGGAACAAAGTTGACCTCAACATTGCTCAACCGACTTAGTTGCCAAACATTAGCTTTTAGGCACGTTTTACCAAAGAATGCTGCACACTGTGAATCACTTTTACTCACTTTATTAACAACCGTTCAGACCTTCATTAGGTCCAGTTAATTTAGATCTTTTTTACTTCAACAAAGCGAGTACAAGGAAAATGGACAGTGTGTAGAATTCCTCTGGTTTTAGAAAGACAAAAGTTGTAAAATATAAAACAACCAAAGGCAAAGACGTCACAATATTGAAGTCAACTTTCTTTAATTTGAAACCACAGTGTATATGCGATACAAGTTCATATGGTTCCAGGTATCTGTCGGTAAGACTTTCCAATATGTTCATAACAGTTACTTATTTACACTTTTGTTATAAAGACATCTAACGATAGACAAATGTTGGTTAAACTATGGCGGGATGACAGTGTATCAAAGACGGCCACCAGGTGGGAGTGTGAACTCAGCAATCTCCCACAGTGCAATCTGTCCTGGAGACTGGGCCTCTCACTGTTTGCAGCCAAGTTCAGAGTTCAAAACAACCTGTTACAGTAGATCACATACTCAGTCGTGTAAATACTGTAACTGTGAACGAGTAGTGTGCATTCGACATGGTCAAAGCCGTGACTTTACGGCAAAGGTCCAGCTGTTGTAATTCACCTCTGTCCTGCGTCTGTATGGTTAAGGTGTATTCTCTCTCTCTACTGGTACAGGGAAGGGAATCGCTTTCTAAATGTTTTAGGTTTAGTTTGATACAGCAGAATGTTTTGAATTCTAGGAATAAGTTATGTGGGATGGATCTGTGCTTGGTGGAGCACCATTAGTATATGATGTGTGTATGAGTTGGACATGGGTGTGTGTGCTTCCTCTGGGTCTGTGGGATTTTGGCCCATAATTCCTGCAGCTCTCAGGTCACAGCTCCTTTCTCACGCACATATTTGGCATTCCTTCCCCGACATGATTACCATACACCTTCCACTCTGGGTTTGGCTACGCGGAATATTTCCATCATTCCCGACTGGAACTAGAGCCACGTTCCAGAAAACGAACAACTCACCCCGCCACCCCCTACTCGTCCTTCTTTATCCCACCCCCCACACCCTGTTTCCCTCCCACTGTCTCCCCCGTGTACCACCCCCTCCAGCACAGATTCCTGTTGCCTTGCAATAGAATTCCTCTCGTACACCCTTTTCCCCCCTGAGTCAGCTGTTTGTGTCTGCCGGCATGATTGGGTCATTTGGCAGCGACATCTCTTCAGTGACCTCCTGCTAGGATAGGAAAGGAAGGTGAGGCATGGGGGGGATAAGAGCAGGATAGAGGAGATAAGAAACAGCAATGAAACTCAAACTCACTACTGAATGTTCCACTATTCTGTCAAATCCTTCATGTTGCATAATTGTGGCAAAAACATTTTTAATGCGGATGTCACTGTTTACTTTGAATCCTCAGTGCTCAGCAGTTTCAAGCGCTTCCGTGTTGAGGCTGGTCCCTCTTAGAGTTGTGTTTTTTAAAGCAAGTGCCTGAGTTTAGAGCTTCTGTGACTTCTTCTACTGCATTTATGTTCTTAACCATTGTCTCTATTACAAATCTGCTAATTTGTTTTTATACGTGTAGTCCGCAGATTACTTTTTGAACGGTGTGGGAAAGTTTAATTTAAGTTTAGTTTAACAGTGACAGCATGCTATTGGCCTTTGATACTTAGTTGTTAGTTATTATGTAGTTTTCTAATGATTTTCTAATCATTTCTCTGCACTACAATATTTTCATCTATGGAATATAGATTTCTATTTATATAGAAAATATCCCATTGGGAGTGGGAGATATGGATACGATTTATCACAATAGACGCTTTTTTATACCACCTATTGTAAATACAAGTGAAACATTTTATGGATCAAGGGCAATGTTTGGTTAATCCAGTGAACTAAATACATAAAAAACTACGGTACACTGATACAAAAGTCCGTCAAACTCAATACTCGAATAAATTAATCCTACCCACTGATTGATTGTGATGTTGCAAATACATGTTGTCTAGTACAATCAGATATATTAAAGCCATATACATATCTTGGTATAAACTGTATTGCACATTCTCTGATGATTGACAAACGTATAATATATCAGGCTGTATCTCATCATACCGACCGAACCCTATGACTATTTTTCTGAGCTCATGAAAATGTCTTGCCTTGTTTTCTTCAACTAAACCCCAACAATATTCAATTTAGAGTGATACAAAATAGAGCAAACAAAGAAATCACCATATTACAGTAACTGGAACAAGCAGATGTTGTTGTTTTTTTTATACACGGCAGATATTACTTTATAATTTTGGTCGATAGTTATTGGGCTTTAAAGCCCGCCGAGCATATCCGTAAACTCGGCAATCTTTCTACAACAAACTCTTTGACAGAAAAGAGAGAAGAAGCAGTTTAAAGAGGCTGTGAGACACAGGAAATGTTTCTGTAGGGTTTACTGAGTCGAGAAAGACTGCTGCACACAGAGCTGAAATAAATAAATGAAATAATTTTATCGTAATAATTATAATAACCATCCTAGTAAGATTGCTTATTTAAGGTTTCTGTCTTCTTTATATATATAATATATATATAACTTTCAATAAATTGTTCCCTTTAATATTTTTTCTCCTGTGTGTATACATGAGACTTTGGTCTGTTCCACCGAATGTCCTGTTAGCAGCATTCTGTATCCACGGTATCGCACAGGAGCATCATCCCATGGGTCGTTTCTATAGCAATGCTAATAGACAAGGCACCCTCCCCGCCATGCTCGTCCCGGCACTTGTCATTCTCTGCACCTATAAGCTGAGGGCGTAGTGTCCCTGGGGGAGTGTGGGGAGGAGTCACGAAGAAGGTCTCCAGTTGTCTTTGGTTGGTCGTTGGTTTGGTTCGCTGTGATTGGCTAGCTGTTTTTGGTGCGGCTTGGATTTTATACATTCCAGTTCCTAAAGCTTCGGTCCCCGCGGTGAGGTGTCACAGGTTCATGCATGGAATGAATGGTCCCTTGCCAGAGTCCCTCGTGATACAACTTGACTCACGGTTGTTGGTGCACTCCCTCACACACACACACACACACACACACAAACACCCACTGTCACATACATTTCCGTGTCTTCTTGTTCTTACAAACATGCGTTTATTCACTAAGTTACTCACTCAATCATTCCCTCGTTCATCCTTTTGTCGGCACTCTCACAGGTTGACACCAATTTAGCAGTGAGACAGATGTGACAGAAGTGTGTCACAGGTCAGCAGTCCATCATTGGTCCATCTCATCCGTGCAGATTGCTCTATCCCTTTGTCCACTCTGCCGTTTTCCTGTCCTTGTCCTTCCTGTTTTCCCTTTTATGCCTAGGCCAAGCACCCACTCTCTTGTTCAGTTCGTCTTTCCCACCCCTTGTTCTCTCTCTCTGTATGGTCCAGTTGTAATCCCATACAGGACATTGTCCAGCTGGTCCAGAAGAGGATCCACAAAGGCCTTGTGGTTTTTGTGGTATTGGAATAAAGGCCTTCATAGAGCCTGGGACTCTGGATGCCCTACAACTTCCCTGTCAGTATTTCTGGCCTAGAGATGCCAGCAATGGACAAGTAATGGTCCAGTTGGCCCAGTAAGGGAACTAAAACTAAGAGGAAGGATCTTTAACTATTGGACTGTTGTAGCAAATTACTAGGTGTAAATGTATACCCCATGTATGATTCATCTAGTCTCTGGTCAATGTTTGTCCCAACAAAGAGAGGTGTTCAGTCGTGTGTGACATAGGAGATGACTGGGTTAGCTATTGGCAGGCTCAGGTCAAGGCTTTGGATGAAAAAGACAGTGGGTGCTCGTGTGAGCCACTACTAGCGGGGCCCGGTAGCACGCACCCGCTTGCCCCGCTTGCTGACGGTGGTGAAGCGAAAGGGGGTGGTGAAGTCGGGCTGCTCACCGGGCGGGAAGCGCTTCATGAAGTGTACGTCCTGCTGGTTGGGGAGTGTTTGGGGGCCGCGGCGAGGACGGCCTCTTTTGGTGAAGCCCACATACCAGCCTGCGTGGCGTGCTGACATCAGAGCTGTGTAGTGGTTTTCCAAAACCTTTTCCACAAAGACGCAGTCATCGCTTCGATTACTGGCCTTCTGTGTGAAACGCAAACCGCAGGTACCATCACACACGCACATCGGGAGAAACAAAGAGACGCTGGTCAGGATCCTTTAAGATCATTTGATTCTTGATAAACTGCAAGAAAGAAAGAAGTCTCACCTTTCCTACCAGCTTTCCACGACGGTTCATGCACAGGTAGAAGTCGGTCGCTTTACCACGGATTCTCACCTGGCTACCAAAGGTATCAGCCTCCACTACGAGCTGGGCTTGTGAAGGGACAGACAGAAGGACAGACAGACATTAGAGATGCAGGCAATGCAGAAAATACAGCATTTGGTATTTGCAGGATGTCACCGATTTATTAGGTTGTACCGCGCAAATATTAGAGGAAGAAAGCTAAAGCTATCCCGCAGTGAGTGCTCACTTCCCTTTCATGTGAGGTCGTTTGTCATTGAAAGAACAACATTCAAGTGAACCCGAACGAGCCCACAGCAAGTAGTGCAACACTAATTGCACAGATTACCAGTCACCATTAAATCAGATTTGAGTCTTTAAACCAGATAAGGCATTCCCAATAAATCACAGTATGAGGATTCATAGTTGCTATTAAACATGCTGATAAATCACAGGCCTATGTAAATGTCTCTGGCTGGACAGATGGTTGTGAGATAAGCCCAGTCACACACATGGATCTGAGGCACTGACCACAAATGGGCCTCGTAAAGAAGATAACAGCCAAAAGTAGACAGAGCAGGGTGGGCCGAGAGGAGCAGGAGAACAGACCGAGTGTCTGCGATACTATTGTTTTAGGTAAGTGCACGTGCGCGTGCGCCTCTGTGTATTTGTGTGTGTGCAGGTGCATGCGTGTTCATCCTCCCCGGCAATACCGCTTCGCCAACAACACATCCTCAGAGCGCTTGTGTCTGTTTGAAAATATATCCTTAAAATGGTTCCTACGTGACCTTAGTCAACAAAGGGGTCAAGAGAAATCAATAACTCCCTCCCTCCTGCCCTCTTCCGTTCTCTTCCCCCTACTCTCGTCTCCCTTCTGCTCTTTCACTTCATGTTTGTACCTTCATGCACCCGCCTCATCTGTGCTTTATTTCCTCTCTCTGTTCCTGGTTTGTGTAACGCCTTATTGTCACAGCTGGTCAGTTTTGGATGGGTTGATCTGCTTAGGAGTAGTATGTGACATACCTTTGTGTATATGAACTCCACCTCTATGGCTTGGCTTTTTTCTGCCCATTGATTGTGTGAGGTTTAAGAATGGATGGAGAAAGATGGAAGGGACCAGGGAGTGGGGGATGGACAGAGGGATTGTTCCAGGATAGAGGGAGGGACGGAGAGGAAGCCTGCTGTTTTGATTCCAGAGGAGACCACAGGGAGAATGAGCAATCAATGGAGGGATCGATGAAGGAGATGAGTTTCTAACACTCTACCTGCCAGGCTTTTCCGCTAACTCACACTTGTTTTCACAAACACCGTATCTCTTCCTCTCTCTCTTTCGCTCACTCTTTCTCTCTCTCTCTCTCTCTCTAGTGAATCATTGAGTCAGCAGCCAGTCGATGAGGTCTTTGTACTCCCAAGACAAGCTCCACTGCCCCTCTGCCAAAGCCTGGGGAGGCGTGTATGTGTGCTTTTGTGAGTGTGCCGGCACAGTTGCATTCTGTATCCGTTCATGCATGCACTTTGTCAACCACCAGGCCTTTGTACTTGCGGCCGTGAGTGGGTGTGAGTAGGCATGTGTGTGCAGGAAACATCTCGCTGCGTATTCACTGAATCACGCGTCACGTCACGTGTGTGTGTGTCTTACCAAATTTGTCTCCATCTTCTCCTCGTGCGCTGATTCTGCGCCCCAGCACCTGGACGTGTTTGCCGCTAGTGCGGCTGTAGAGTTGGTAGACCCGGTGTTGTCGCCGACTCATGGTGTCTCGCACCTGCGTTTGGTTCTCCACGTGCACGCTGAAGTTGACCCCGTCCACACTGAGTACCTGCTGAGAAAGCACACACACACATCGAGAGGTTGGCATGCGTAAACATATACAGAAAGTAATTAACAGGCTTAATAAAACTATTATCACTTTAAATCCTTTGTACGGTAGATGAACGGTAGATGAACTCTTTGTCAGGCATTACCTGTAATGGATTGCACTTCACCAGCAACATCTGGATACATCTGGAAAAAGTGGAAAAGTCTGAATTTAGAAATATCCAAGCAAATTTAACTTCTGGAAGAGAGACGTGTGACACCATGATTTCCATCTCTTTCTTCCCTGCCATTCTTTCTCCTCAACATGTCTTTTCCTTGTTGGGTAATTAGTCACATTGCCGGGTGCACGACTGGCACAGATACATGCCAAACGGACAGGCAGGCAGATGTCCAGGAGTCCGCAGACAGACAACACCCAGAGCAGTGTTTATTGTTACGCTACCAGCCTTCAGTAGAAACCCACTTTCTGACCGGTTCATGACTTTCGCCACGCCAAAATCTGGCCTCCAAATGACCTGCTTGGACCGTGGCGAAATGGCAAACATACCGAGACAACTAGAACATGTTTTGATTTGGACATCTGAGGCACTGGGCTGGCGTATTTGGCTGCTCTGTGTATGTAGACAGCTGGGCTGGACTGCAGGTGTATGTTAAGCTGTGATGTGGCTTCGGAGAGCAGCAGAATGTGGTCAAATTAGAATTTCTATGAATAAGTGGACATAAATTACTAAAATGTTTGGACGGATTATTTACGGGGGAATCACTTAGTCACCTATTACTATTACTAACGTATCCATCTGATGTGGACCTTCAGAGACATTAGTGATGGAAACACCTGGTTACAGTTTCAATAAAACCGTCTCACTTTATCGAAGGGCTTTTTTAAAGTTTAGACCTTGAACTTGGATGCATCTTGTTATTGACATCTTTAGTAAGGGAGTGTTGTGTTGCACAGAATCTACTCTGCCATTCCTTAAACTGTTCCGAATTAGTGGCTAAAAAACCTAATGAAGTTCAGAACCAAGTGTGTGGGCCGAAAAGCAATTCTACGAATGTTGTCTTTTCCCACCTCATCTTCTATCTCTCTTGATGCCTTCTCCCTCTCTCTCTCTCTCTCTCTTATATGCTCTGTACTCCAGTCTTACTCTCTGACTTGTTGTCCTCCCTATCGCTTTCCACATTACCTCCCTCCCCGTCTTTCTTCTTTCTCTACCTTTTTCCTATCGTTCCCTGCCTCCCATCTTGCTTTATGTTTGGGGTTAGCAGGGTGACTCCTCCGCACTGTCATGGGCATACACACAGATGTGCAGATGTGTGCGGGCTTTAAGTGTGCGTACAGGAGGAGCAGGCAGCTGACAGCTGGGCCAAAGCAAAGACATACACAGTGCTGAGAGAGGGAGATAAACTGAGAGATACACAAAGGGATAGGGAGAAGGAAGGTGATGTCGGAATAAATAGAGGGTATAAGAAGCAAGAGAAGGCTGACAGATAACAAGAGAGGTGAGAGATAAAATCAGAAAGAATATGCAAAGATGTGCGAAGGAAAGGGTGGAAAAGGCTACAGTTTGATTTTCTAGGAACAAGGAGAAAAAGTAGTGAGATGAGAGTCAGAAAGTGGCCTGGCGCGAGAAGTAGGCAAAAGGATAAATAATTGGAACGAACGAGTGGGGTTCAACTCATGCACATCGTAACACATGTGACTGCCCCCTGACAATATCATCCACACATACACATACTTCCTCTCTATTCCTACCTCCGTCTCAATATGTTTTTCCTATAGCTGGTGTGTTGGCCTCTGAGTCGTTATATAGCTGCAGATAGCCCGGGCAATGCAACATATTGGCCATCGGATTTTGCCTGCGCAGCCGAAAAAACCTGAGCGCCTGTGCATTGTGAGGACTCTCAGCTGTTAAAACACCACGGCTGCACTGCTGCCGAGGACACTGCAGGAAAAGTGCCTCGGCACTAGATTCCCCCACTCCCACAAAAACCACAGACACTCCGTATTATGCCAGCCACAGAGCGAAAGGGAAGGAGAGAGGAAAGAAGGAGACGGGATCAACCCGGGAGTGGGGGAGGGATGAGAAAAACGAGAAAATAAGAGTAAAATTCGGGTAAAGTAAAGACAGAAGGAGGTATGGAGAAAAGGGAAAGCCCGGTGCGCCTTGGCTGGCTTCCAATACAAGCAAAGGTCTGACATCATAAACCTGCGTCCCAGCAGATCTACCATATGGAGGCTGCGGTCGGACTAGCAGGCCTCAGAAACGAGGACTGGGCAGCAGCGCGGAGCGAGAGCGGTCGCCCTGGTGGGATTCAGCACAGAGCCGTGGTTTCAGCTGTGTGTAGCAGTGGTTAGCGTGGTAGGCCAACACTGGAGCGATTGGGCTTCGGCATTAATGCAAGAGTGTCAGATGTTCCCCGGTGAAGAATGGTGGTTAGGCGAGAAGGCGTGTGAGTGGTATCAGCAGGAAAAGAGCCTATGCGGGGAGAAATTGTCAAAGAAGCCAAAGGCCTCGCGAGGGAGCTGAGCAATAACAGGTTGTAGCGGCATAAGGCTCTTGGCTTGAACACTTTCGCTACGATCAAGTTGGTAAAACAGCATTCATCAAGTGAAGAGGCTGTGAAGAAAACTGCGAAAAAGGAAATGAATAGAAAGATGATTGACTCTGGAAGACCAAAACTAAAACCAGCAGACTAAACAGTGAGACTGCTTCTCCGCGGATAGCGCCAGTGGCGCCATCATTCAACAGTTATTAATTCATACTTTTTTATCTGAGCAAGTATCTGTGGAAAAATTGGCTATAGGCAAGACAGGAAGACAGATGCAGGCAGTGAGGTGGTTAAGAGGAGAGAGTGTGAGGGAGACACAGACAAAGAGAGAGAAAGTCAAGCAGACACCAGCACCAGCAGCAGCACACACCCTGTCCAGGTTGTGCGAGGAATGAGAAGTATCTGGAGATGACTGCCATCTGGGAGAAGTACAGCCGACACAAAGAAAGAAAAATAAATCCCTTGGCTTTTAACAAGACACACCTCAAATGGGCAAACCCAAGCCCCTTGAGTCTGTATCCTCCTCCCTTAGTTTTGCTCTTGGCACTTGATCATTTTCCTATCCCACTAGATAAAGCCGGTGTTACTTGACTCAACTTCAGAAATATTTTCAATAGGGGGAAAAAGCAATTTCTTGGCAATGGGGAAAACGGCTTTTTCTAATTCAGTCTGGCCATCCCTGAAGTAAGTGCAGATGGTGATGGAGATGTTTATGGCAGGTTTTATGAGTAACAGGTCCCCGACTCTGACCCAGTGACCCTGAACTGTCAGCCAATCAAAACAGGCCTTCCCTGGCATGTTTTCTGTGGGGACTGATGAGGAGTGATGTAATCGTTAGACATTGCAACCTTCCTCTCTATCATCTTCATTTGCAGCTATGGCTGTCACAGAATTAGTTTGAACAACTAAGAAGGACATGGGCCATCACGCAAATGAGTACATTACATGATGAAGTGATAAAAGTGACTTACAAGACGGTCAGCGTGGAAAGAAGGGACAACATTGCTTCCCCCCTCCACTATGGAACTTGTCCCAGAGACAGTCTCCTCGCTCGGTCTAAACCAGTCCTACAGCCCAGAGAGTTTCCTCCTGTTTTGTCAATCCGCTGGATGTTGTGCAGAGTCAAAGAGTCAGCCGACAGTCCCGTTGGCATCGGCGGCGGCGTGCTCCGGTTCTCCCGGCGTGCGTAAACGTGTGGGCGCGAGCGAAGTGGGGCGTGAGGCCGGGGTGACTGTGCCACTGTGACCGCCGGGCAACCTCTAACAGCTGTCCAGTGTAGCGGAGAGACGGATGGGCGGGGAAGCAAAGTGGGGAGGTTAGGACTCTAAGGGCTCCGCGTTCCCGACAAAGAGAGGAACAGGTGAAAGCGCGCTCACGCGTCACAGATAACCAATTTCCAATCGGCCTTGTTGACCCGTGGGGCGATGCTCAGCCATTTGACGAGGATGCGTTTTCGTGCGTAATCTTCTGCGTAATCCAATGCGTGAGGTTTTTGTCCACCAAAGTAATTCTGTGGCCGGTCAGATGATTAAAAAGACAGTGGTAGAGTTTTTGTTCCAGCAAAGACAAAAGTAGCAGGCAGGTTTAGTACCAGCAGAGCGGGGTCAGGAGCAGTTGGAGGTGGGCTACCTGGGCTGGCTGATGGAGCGAACCGTGAACTGAATACGGGGGCTCCGCGGGCGCAGGGTAATGTAGGGCCTCGGTCATGACTGCGCCCCCACGCTGGCTCAACGGGTCTGTGGCTCTGGTGACACCGCACAACAGTGTCCGACAGAGAGGCTGATAAGGTCCCAGAGCGGTCCAGCTCAGAGGAAAATGGCACGGGATAATGCAGGGGGAAAAAAACGAGTGGGGGAAGGGGGTGGGAGGGGGGCGTGTGGGGGCTGTAGAGGATGGGAACAGCTGTGACTGGGTGGCGGACTCAGCCACCCGCGACACAGCGAGGAAATGACAGCCGCACTTTGCACCTGATTTTGCGGACTTCCCCGCTTGCCCCGGCCGCTGGTTACCGATCAGCTGCAGAAGTCCTCCCTGCGCCCTCTCGACACAATACCAGCCCAAACACAGCACGATGACATCACCTCCAAAATGTTTGAAGGGGGGGAAATGAAATCCGACCTTTTCATTTATTTAAACGTAGAAAGTTTAAGCTGCTTCTCTGCGGGAGGAAAACACGAAAGTCTATTCGTTTCAAGGAAAGCGAACTCCGCGGCACAAAAGGAGATGGGTCGAGCTCACCAGTTTCTGAAGAAATAAAAGTTAAAACGTGCGCACTGGAAACGTGTTTACACCAAATCACACAGTCAGATCGACTCCTAATCCAGAACCTGCACCGTCTCTCTTCCCTCTCCCTCCCCGTTTCATTCAGACACCAGGGGGAACAATGCAAGAGATAACACAAAAAGAACCCAGTCGTGCGTTTTTATCCACTTCACTGCTGTTATTCAGATCCGTTTTCCTTTCAAAAAAAATCCAAAGGTTTTCCTCCCATAAAAAGCTATTCTTGAGGGGGGCAGCACAGGAGAGGCGCGTCGGCAGGCACGGACCTCACTCCAAGAAAAACCAGAACAAGATTTTAACAGACGCGGATCAATCCTCCCTCCTCTCCTCTCCTTTCCTCTACTCCCCCCCCCCCCCCCCTTCTCTCTCTCTCGCTCGCTCTCTCTCTCTCCTCAAACACATGCACACTTATTGGATCAAACTGGAATTAAGTCAGTGGTTAAGCGATGGCCACCCCTTACACTTCAAAAATATACATTCATATGAATGAAAAACATCTGCTAATGAGGTGAGATAATCGCACTTGTTAGTTATGCAACGCAACTGACATTCCCTGATTTCCCTCAAGACAAGGAGTATTTGGTTGTGAAAATTCCCAAAAACCCTAAATGCATTGGAAACAATTTGAATGATGTCCCCGGATCGGGAGGAATGCCTTTTGAAGTGGATTTCAGAATGACAGCAAGAGAGCAGAAACTTTCTCTGGTGCTTGAAGTTACTGAGATCCTCTCAAAACAAAGACATCTACCTCCGCCAGGTGAACCTCTGTCTCCACACAGTGTCCCCTCCCGAAGATAACCTCATCCCTGCAGCCTCAGTGTTCCCCGGATTCAGAGGTTGGAATGCGCCCCCCCCCCCCCCCCCCCCCCCCCCTCCGCGCCCAACACACACCCTTCAGAGCGGCCGCGCTTCTCGACTGATGTCTTTGGCCTCCCCGTTTCATAACTTTTAAGTTAAACCGTAAGGGGGGAAAAATGAAAAGGGGAACGAGAGACAGTCGGGAGGACGGTATGTAAGCACGGACATCGATCCAAAACGAACATTTCTCAGGGATTTCGGCAGCAACGCCCGCTCTGCGCTCCCAAAACTCCCTCTCACCACCGCACAACCGCAGACGGCCAGCCAAGCCAACACAACGCTCCTGCCATACCTTTCATTCACACACATACACGCACACAAACGCGCACATGCACACGCACACCCACGGACACACGCACACAAGTCAGTGCTCGGAGAGAGAGGGAAAGACATATGTGCGTGAATGTGTCTAGAGGGGGGAGGGGAGGTTGGCCATCAGGGACAGTTATTTTGGCTCCCGGTGTAAGGCTATTCTTTTCAACATTGTACTTTTAAATACGCACACACACGTTTTGCAACTGGACAGGGTTGAGCAGGGCTGGGTAGGGGTACTGTGGTTGAATACCTTTCCAGTCATGCTCCATAGGCCTTTTTTCTTTCCTACTACTGGCTCTCTCCGTCTTCGCACCTGTGTCTGGGTGCTTATTCGCTGCTCACCGCACGGCTGCGAGGGACATGAGTGTAAATGTTGTGGAGAGGGATTTGAACCACATTCAGGTGATGAGGAATGAGGCCCGTCTGGAACGCTCAAATCCAGATGGAAGGGTTCAGATCAGGGGCTGCGGCACATCTTCGTACAAGTAAGACAACAAAAAAGAGCTTGACTTAATCCCCATACTCTGCATGGAAGCCTGACTCAACCATAGTGGATTTGTAGATAGTTGTATGGGCCAAAAAGATTGCTGATTGAGGTGATGTCAATTTGTATACAGTTACATTAAGTTACACAAAATACAATACAAAAAGAAAATAAAGGACAAAAATAAACTGAGTGAATGGAGTCACAGACGGTTATAATGACGCATCATTCATGATTCAATTGTAAGCTGGAGCAGCAAGTCTGAAATTTCTCGCTCCCTCCGTTGAGATTTGTTGAGAAATGTTGAGAAATGTTGATTTGGTAATGACATTTCATGTTCCAAGAAAACAATACAAAGTTAGGAGGGTGGAATGATGTTAAATCAACCAGGCCTTTTCTTTCTCTTTCTCTCTCTCCTCCTGTCACATCGCTCTTTCTCATTCATTTTCTGTCCTCCCTATCTGTCCCTTTAATCTCCCCGTTTTTTATCTGCTCACTCTGTCCCTCCCTCTATTTGCAGCCAGCATATTGATCGCCCATGTCTTTGCCTCTGCAGCTCCTGCCCATTGATCCTCGCAGAAGACACACATTCACACACCAACACACACCCTTGCACGGATGTCCCCCTCCCGTTTCTCCAGACTCAACCAACATTTAACTTTCCTGCAGACCAACTTTGCCAGACACAATATTCATAAATGCACATGCGCATGCATCCATGTGTGCACAAAGACACACAAAGAGACACACCCCAGGACACCGATTTCTACATATACCCTCTGTTGTATACTTGGCATTGATGGACGTCATGCCTTTGTGCTGCTCTCTCCACTCATTAAAGTGAATGAGAGACGTGTGTGTGTGTGTGTGTCTCGGGCCCCTTCGCTGCTTTACGTCTGGGCAAGACAGGTTTTATTCTCTATCTCTCTCTCTCTCTCTTTGACCGGGCCTGCAGGCTTGTTCATCCAGGGAGCCTGGTCAATATGGCCATTCTGTCCAGCAATTAACATCGATCAGCGCTCGTCAATACCGTCAGCACCCAGACAAAGACCCAGGGTGCATTGCGTGCGCTTGCCCTTTCTCTATCACAGTCAAACAAATCCTAAAACCGCACTCTCATTATATGAGGGCATTCTGGCATGACCCCAAGGTCATCTTGGAGGAGAGCCATAGCGTCCCGGGCTCTATGTTAAGGGTGACTGGAGTGGAACCTAACGCAGAGCTCTGAGACGCAAGCTGTTGAGCCATCGTGACAGTTGTGTGTGCATGTGTAGAGGTGTGGGTGAGCAGTCGAGCATAGATATTCCTTGGTTTGGATACAGTCAAAGACAAGTTGACAGGCTATATCATCCCCCTGGCTGTGTACTCTAAACTGTTAAACACTGTGAAAACTTTGAACGGTATGAATGCAATCCATCATTCTGTTGACACACAGATTTTGATTTTCTTCAGATGTGTCAAGTGTGGTGGATTCCGTCCAATTAGATTTTCCTATCAAATCTGGGCTGTTTATGCTTTCATAGGAGGAGGGACCAAAGTAGCACGTCTGCAAGTGTATATGTGCAATCCCCCGAGAGAGAGGTTTTGCTTTGTTTAATACCTGTAGACATGGGCCTTAAACTTCACATCAGAGGGTGAGATGTCAGGCTAACATTGGTTTCTGGGATGGTTATCCCTAAACTCTGTTAATAAGGGCCAAATTTAAACTGTTCCCCAATGTGTAAATATATGAGACACTTAATAGAGGCCCTTTGATGACCGAGGGGCCCATGGAAAGTCAAGGAATGCGTACAGTCTGCAGGTCTTTGAAATGAGAACCTGTTCGCCACTCGTCCGCGTCTGCGAGATGAGAGAATCGACAGCTGCAACTAAGCACGAGCAGGAATTAATCAAGAGAGCCGTTTGAGCAATATTGAGCCGCGGCTAAGATGAAGAGAAAAGAAAAATGTTGTTTCTATTTGCGGCGATGTTGGTGGTGCACAGCGTGCTCCCTTCTCTCGCTTGGCAAGATTAATCCAGTGAAAATGACCGTGTAGTCTCCTCGGTCGCACAATCCATTGCAGCTGTCTCTATACATAGACCAGCTGAAGGGCTGGAATAACTTTACTTTAAATTGGAGTTTTTGATGCTGCTTTGAATACGTAATTGTTTGTGCAATCTAACTTTATTGTAAGGCTAAAGCCGTATTGTGCAGAGTGAACCAGGCTGTCGTGTACTTTGGGCTATACCTGCTTTCTTAGCAAGATACACTGCACAAAGTGTTCAGTAAAGAAGTAATTCAGTGGCTTAAAGATTTTATTGTAAATGTTGTTAGTGAGGTTTGCTAAAATATTTGTAAACAACATGTTTGACTAAGTGTAACATACTGTAGTTCAACTCCAACAACATATGCAATCCAGCATCAAGAACCCCAAGAACCCCACGCAGGGCCCGTCCATTCAAGAACCTCTGGTCATCCAAATTAAATTAAATCATGGACAGAAATAAACTTCAACAACAGGCAACTGAGTAATTGATTCGACATAATCTAAAAATCTAATCTAACAAACTGCAGCACTGGTGGCTCCACAACAAGTTCTGTGTGATGGAGAAACGGCACAAGTGGCACTCCACGCTGTCTGTGACTGATTGGCAGGGGCTGTTCGGTGCACTGTCAAAATGAAGAGAAAAAGATAATTGCTTATGACCAATGAGGTTGTGCATAAACATGCACCGCTCAGCAACTGGGCTGATGTTTGTTTAAATATGGTCCTTGTGGTTCTGTGTATTTGGTTGAGTGAGAGTGTCAGGCCCGTCCGTGACACGCTGCGCACAGCTGACACAGTGCAGTTTGTGGCTTTGCAGTGAATGATTATATATTGCAAATATTGCGGCAACAAGGTTAAGCACCACGTTGTGTTAAAGTGTGTGTTTCATGACTGCAGTGTGCATGTGTGTGTGTGCGTGATGCATAGTGATGTGGATTGCAGCTGTGGCTCGTGTTGGATGATGGTTCAGCGGGTTTCTCTCTGTCTGATGATTAGGCGCTCAGCGATTGAATCCATGAACATGGTTACCTTCTCTCCTGTCATATTTCTTTGTTCATCTCTTCCACACTCTCTTCTCTCTTCCTCCCCTTCCTCTGAAATAGGTTCCTTTTACTATTCCATCATCTCTGCTCGCCTTTGTGCAGCCTCTGCTCCCTCTCACTGTGTCCATTCCTCTCATTCATTTTTCCCCCCCTCTCCCCGCCCCTTCAGCCCCGCCATCGGCCAGAGGAGGAACTGTAATGTTTATGAAACCCTTTAATGTGCTATGTAATTACTCTGGCAACACCTCCCATCATTACTCACGCCAATAAAGGGCCTTCAAATTGACATGCCAGAGTGGGAGAGCAAGAGACAGAGAGGGACACAGCCAACACACTTTTCACCCCCCCCCCCCCCCCCGGACCCCCCATTAATCTCTCGTCCTTTCTTGGCTTTCCTCCATCTCTATTTCTTCATCTCCGTTATGTCACTTCTATCGTGCTTTGGCTCAGGTCCTACCTTACCGACCTCGTCCCCTCTTCGCTATGACGCTGGGGGGAGGGGGGGAGGAGGGGGGGTGACAAAAGCGTTCTTAAACTTGCTCAACTAAGCCTATTTCGGAAAGATTTCTCC